ATGTGTTCGTTAATTCAGATTGTCAGTAAAAATGTTAAAGTTGGCACCTTTGTAGTAAATATCAGAATATTCATAAAGAAGAGTGAATAGAGTTGTTAAGAGTATACTTTACAAAATCCAAAGACTTCAGAGCTGTCACTCGTGTCTGTGTTCCTCTAGCCACAGGGGCTGCCGACCGGATCCCTTCCACAGGCCCCAGCGGCAGTTCTTGCTGGGCTGTGAGTACCGCCTTCCTCTGGGCTGCCTTTGGCTTCGGTCCTGGGCTGGGCCTTTTCCACTGCAGCTGAACCTTCCACATTCCCCGATACCTCCTGGTCAGAGACAGGCTTAGCAGACTTGCTGCTTTCAGTCGGTATGCTTTCTCCTGGGATTTCACCGATCTCTTTGGGCTTTGTATCCAAAATAGGTGATTTATGCTATAAAGTACAGAATTATATTTTGTTTTAACTGTTTAAGGTAATGTGAAGTTTTAGTAATCAAACATATCTAACAAGTTCCTACCCAAATTGGTTGAAGCTAGCTAGAAACTCTTTAAAATCCTGGTTCCAATGCTGGATTATAATTATATAAATATTATTAAGCCTCACAGAACTGTACATGGAGGAGTGGGAACACTTACGATATACTAGGTGGGCTTAGTGGCCCAGCTTAGCAGGGGTCAAGAGGATTGGTGACCAGTATTGCTAACTCCTCTTGATTGGTGAGAATAATTCATTTGACCAATATTTACTGAGCACATACTAAGTTCTAGGTGCTAGGGATACAGCAGGAATAAAATGCAAAAACTACTCTCACTGGAACTTACATTTAGGTTTGGGAGAGAATCAGGCAACAAACGAATTAAGAAAGTATAACATCATCTGTTGAATAAAGGGCTATGTAGGAAAAGAGAAAAGAGATGAAGTGCTGGAAGTGCGTGGGGTGGTAGGGTGGACTGCAGTTTAAATTAGGGTGGTCGGAAAAGGTGACATGACTAAAAGTCTAAAGAAAAGCACCACATGATATATGGCAGAAGAGCATTCTAGACAGAGGGTACAGCAAGTATAAAGGCTCTGAGTTCCAGGAACAGTCAGGAGCCCTTGTGGCCGAAGTAGAGTGAGCAGACGATGACCAGTAAGGTAGTGGATGTGGGAAAAGGGCATAGCAAGGAGGCCCCTAAGCCACTGCGATAACTGGCTTTCCCTACAAGTGAGATAGGAAGTCACTGGAAGATTTTTGAGATGAGTGACAGGTAACTATCAACTATAAAAGCTGGAAGGAGCATCTTAAGGTTTTCTAGATACATGTAGATATGTTTATTTTTATAAGGAACTCTATGGGAAAAGATGCTATAATTTCTATAATTTCCTAGATTCTATTATGCTCATAACTGTTTCTCAAAGGTTTATAGTTACAACTTAAACTTTGCAAATAACAATACAAATTCCTCTTTCAAACAGAAATGGAAAGGTCCCTTTAGAAGACCAATAATGGTGAAAAATGCACCATTCTGCAGGTTAAAAGTATAGTCTAACCAACCAATGATAAAGAAGATTTGGGAGGCCGGGCGCGGTGGCTCACGCCTGTAATCCTAGCTCTCTGGGAGGCCGAGGCGGGTGGATCGCTTGATGTCTGGAGTTCGAGACCAGCCTGAGCAAGAGCGAGACCCCCGTCTCTACTAAAAATAGAAAGCAATTGGCCAAACAACTAAAAACAGAAAAAATTAGCTGGGCATGGTGGCGCATGCCTGTAGTCCCAGCTACTCGGGAGGCTGAGGCAGGATGATCGCTTGAGCCCAGGAGTTTGAGGTTGCTGTGAGCTAGGCTGAAGCCATGGCACTCTAGCCCAGGCAACAGAGTGAGACTCTGTC